GGATTGGAAGAACAAATATTGTGAAGATGTCAATGCCACCTAGAGTAATCTACACATTTCATGCAATTCCTATCAAAATACCATCTACGTTTTTCAAAGAAATGGAATAAATAATCCTAAAATTTGTATGGAACTGGAAAGGACCCCGAACAGCCAGAGGAATGTTGAAAAAGAAAAGCAAGCTGGTGGCATCAGAATTGCTGACTTCAAGCTCTATTACAAAGCTGTCATCATCAAGACAGTATGGTACTGGCACAAAAACAGACACATATTCAATGGAACAGAAGAGAGAGTCCAGAAATGGACCCTCAACTCTATGGTCAACTGATCTTCGACAAAGCAGGAAAGAATGTCCAATGGAAAAAAGAGTCTCTTCAACAAATGGTGTTGGGAAAATTAGACAGCCACATGCAGAAGAATGAAACTGTACCATTTCCTTACACCACACACAAAAATAGACTCAAAATGGTTGAAAGACCTCAATGTGAGACAGGCATCAATCAAAATCCTAAAGGAGAACAGAGGCAGCAACCTCTTCGACCTCAGCTGCACCAACTTCCTCCTAGAAACATCGCCAAAGGCAAGGGAAGCAAGGGCAAAAATGAAATATTGGGACTTCATCAAGATAAAAAGCTTTTGCACAGCAAAAGAAACAGTCAACAAAACCAAAAGACAACCGACAGAATGGCAGAAGATATTTGCAAATGACATATCAGATAAAGGGCTACTATCCAAAATCTATAAAGAACTTATTAAACTCAACACCCAAAGAACAAACGATCCAATCAAGAAATGGGCAGAAGACTTGAACATTTTTCCAAAGAAGACATCCAAATGGCCAACAGACACATGAAAAAGGGTTCAACATCACTCGGCATCAGGGAAATTCAAATCAAAACCTCAATGAGATGCCACCTCACACCAGTCAGAATGGATAAAATTAACAATCAGGTTACAATAGATGTTGGCTTGGATGCGGAGAAAGAGGAACCCTCCTACACTGTTGGTGGGAATGCAAGCTGGTGCAGCCACTCTGGAAAACAGTATGGAGCTTCCTCAAAACGTTGAAAATAACAAAACCCTACAACCCAGCAATTGCACTACTGGGTATTTACCCCAAAGATACAAATGTAGGGATCTGAAGGGGTACATACACCCCGGTGTTTATAGCAGCAATGTCCACAATAGCCAAACTATGGAAAGAGCCAAGATGTCCATTGACAGATCAATGGATAAAGAAGATGTGGTATATATATACAATGGAATATTCTGCAGCCATCAAAAGGAATGAAATCTTGCCATTTGCAACGGCGTGGATGGAACTGGAGGGTATTATGCTGAGCGAAATAAGTCAAACAGAGAAAGACACGTATCATATGATCTCACTGATATGGGGAATTCTTAATCTCAGGAAACAAACTGAGGATTGCTGGAGTGATGGGAGGTGGGAGGGATGGGGTGGCTGGGTGATAGACATTGCGGAGGGTATGCGCTATGGTGAGTGCTGTGAATTGTGTAAAACTGTTGAATCACAGAAGTGTACCTCTGAAACAAATAATATATTATATGTTAAAAAAAAGAAGAAGATAGCAGGAAGGGAAAAATGAAGGGGGGAAATTGGAGGGGGAGATGAACCATGTGAGACTATGGACTCAGAGAAACAAACTGAGGGTTCTAGATGGGAGGGGAGTGGGGGGATGGGTTAGCCTGGTGATAGGTATTAAAGAGGGTACGTACTGAATGGAGCACTGGGTGTTATACGCAAACAATGAATCATGCAACACTACATCAAAAGCTAATGATGTAGGGGCACCTGGGTGGCTCAGTCGTTGGGCGTCTGCCTTCGGCTCAGGTCATGATCCCAGGGTCCTGGAATCAAGCCCCTCATCGGGCTCCCTGGTCAGCAAGAAACCCGCTTTTCCCTCTCCCACTCCCCCTGCTTCTGTTCCCTCTCTCACTGTGTCTCTCTCTGTCAAATAAATAAAATCTTTAAAAAAAAAAAAAAGCTAATGATGTAATGTATGGTGATTAACATAACATAATAAAAAAAAGTTTACAGTTTATACAGGATAACTCAAAATTCATATAGCATATGTTAACCACACTATAATTAAAACATTCAATACTGTAGAATGGGATTATAGGTAAATTTTTAAAAATATATAATACAAATAATCAATGCTATTTAAAAAAAATCATACTCATGTATGAGAACCAGTATCAAAATGTGGGTTTCTTTTTTAAGGTCTAACGTCCGTTGTTTATTTGTTGTAATGAGTTGAAAAAGTTTTCTTTTTTCTATATAATACCTGGAAGTAATTCAGTTTTCTTGCACCAGTATTACTGATATGTGTAGCCCCATTCAAAACCTAAACAAGAGTGATTTGGCAATCAACTCACCAAAAAGCACTTTCTGGTACAACCTTCTGTCCAAAGTCTTATGATTACTTTTACCTTTATTTTTCATACAAAAGAACTACCGGTATTATGCTAAGTGAAGTAAGTCAGAGAAAGACAACAAATACCTAATGATTTATATGTGGAATCTAAAACACAAAACAAATGAATAAACAAACAAAAAGCAGAATCAAACCTATAAATACTGAGAACAGTGTGATGGTTGCCAGAGGGTAAGAGAATGGGAGATGGGCAAAATGGGTGAAGGGTAGTGGGAGACACAGACTTCCAGTTATGGACGAGTAAGTCATGGGAGTAAAAGGTACAGCAAGGGAATATAGTCAATGGTATTGTAACAGTGTTGTGTGGTGACAGATGGTAGCTACACTTGTGGTGAGCATAGCATCATGTATAGAGTTGCTGAATCACTACATTGTGCATCTGAAACTAATGTAACATTGTGTGTCAACTATACTCAAAAAATAAAGAACTACCAAGACAGTAAGTTCCCACACATTTCAGACTCTCTTAACAGCATCCTTTCCTAAATACAGACAAAGCACTCCTAGAAATATTTACAAATTTAGAACCTAAACACAAAGAGTTCTGGGAAAATATAGCCATAAATAAATCAATACTTTCAAAATGGCATTAAATTTTATCTGGGGAAAGAGATACATTGGCAACATAAGAAATAAAATTCAAAAGCATAATATCTGCTCTCTTTAACTGATAACCTAGATTTCTGTGATATTGAAATGAAAATGGCAATGAAGAAACTGTAAAAGCATTTGATGCAGAAAGTAACTAAACACGCAGCAGAAAATATTTACAAGGTAAAGATTAATATTAATACAGAATTCAAGATTAGCCAAATATATTTGCTTGGTTCCTGTGTGCTAATAAATAGATATTGGAAGAAATAATCCACAACTGAAGAAACAGCTACTTGATATAAATAGGATTTCTACATCTATAACTTTTTTTTTAATATTTTTAAGATTCAGCTTTACACAGAGGTGGTATGGAAGCTTTAGCAAAGCAGTGAATCATAAAGTTCTTGGTTCTAGGACCAATTCTGTCAACACCAGTCTTAAGAACTTTGACAAAATTTTAAGTACTCCTGTTGGCGGCTTCCTCTGTGGAATATACAGTAAGAGTGTCTGTCCCACTTACCCCTCAGGGCTTCTGTGAAGATCACGTAGACATTAGTAGATTAGAGGGCTTTGAACGTTAAAAGTTCTACACAAACGAGAGCTCTTACTCTACTGAAGTTGTTCTTGATATTCCAGATTTGGTTCAGTAACAACAACAAAGGCTCAAACAAAAATATTCTTGCTCAGAAATTATTACAAGTGGAATAATTTGTCAACCTTCATTTTGACAATCTGTATTCACCTCATTTGCAATGCAATGAGGTAATAATTGGACTGTGTTGCACAATTTACAGACTTACCCAAATGAGCATATATGGCCCATTTAGCTAAGGATATTTTAATAGGTGCTATTTATTATGAGTTGATCTCCTACAATAATATCATACAGCTGATATGTATTTCCTTTAGAAGACCACTTTGTTGGGCGTCTGGGTGGCTCAGTTGGTTAAGCGACTGCCTTCGGCTCAGGTCATGATCCTGGAGTCCCTGGATCGAGTCCCACATCGGGCTCCCTGCTCGGCAGGGAGTCTGCTTTGTCCTCTGACCCTATCCCCTCTCATGTGTTCTCTCTCTCTCAAATAAATAAATAAAATCTTTAAAAAAAAAAAAAAAAGACCACTTTGTTTAATATATTATCTAGGTATTTATTTATTTTTAACATTTATCACATCTCATAATTTACACAAAGGAATGACAACTCTCTCAAATGCATCAAAGCATAGAGGCTTGTGAGCCCTGCACAAATTGGCGTTGATGGATGTTTTGCTTGTCTTTTTCCCAAAACTTTCTTTCATATGAAAAATACCCGTTTCCATTCTGTTTGTCTTTGAACACACCTGTTTTTCAAATTATCACCAATTATTTCACACACACCAAGCCACCAACTAGTTTTAAATGAATTACAGTTCTAAATTAAGTATTGAGAGAACAAAAGAAATGTATTTAAATAGGTAAATCACCTTACCTGACTTGGCTACTGAGCTTTACATACTTCGTATGTTTCAGCAATTAACACACCACATGCAGGGTTAAGGTTGTAGGAGACAAGGCGGAAAAGTGAGGAAATAGAAAACTTCCACTTACTGCAAATGAAAGTAGATTCATCTGAATTATCAGCGCAATCGTTCACAAAATCACACAGCTTGTCCTTTGCAATGCACTGCTTGTTTGCACACGTGAATTCTTGAGCAGTACACTTCCTGTCTGGGCTAAGCAGGGGGGCACAATCTTGAAAGGAAATATCATCCACTGCTACATCTCCCATGTAACTGATCCCACGCTTTGCCCTAAAGACAATCTTTAAAAAAAAAAAGGAAGAAAGGAAAGAAGGAAAGAAATCCAATTTCAGTTGAATTGTCCAAGAATTCAAAATTTGAGGCAACCATTAAATACAGGACATTAGGTTTGAATCTAATAAAAATACCCCATAACGAAACTTACCCAAAATGTTTGAGAGTCATCCCACAAATGTGGGAGTGGCAACACCACTATGTCTTGTCTAGATTTTTAGGACAGGTGGCAAAGATAACCAGCAGGAGCCACCAACCTACCAATGCTGCTTCTATAGCTCTCTCATCCAAAACAAGACCTGCTTGCTTCTTAGAGCCTCACCTGCACCTCGTATGGGAGGAAAGAGGCCAATCGTGACAAAGCACACGAAGAAAAAGAAGATGCAACCACATCCTTTATTTTGGCCAATTTGTTGCCACTCCTCAGATCTGTCCACCCCAACTATGTGAAAGTGAAGATATCAAACCTCAATACCATGAGTTTTTTTAAATTGCCCACATTTTTGGAATTGAAATGATTTTAATTTGCCTTTGACCAATGTATGTGATGAAGAAAATTCTCATGTGTGCCACTGTCTGACAGGGAAATCCCACTTACATGGACTCCAAAAGAATTAGAAATGATTAAAGGTCATAACAGGAGTTGCTAAAATGTTTAGAAATTTCATCTTCAATTCGTAACATTACCAGTGCTTGGAAGAACAATTAACACTGTTTCACGGAACACAAGAAGTCACAAATTGTTTAGTTTCAAATTTCTAAGTGAAATTAATTCAGAATGTTTCTATTAAATTTCTCTGCATGCCAAATATGTATTTGTGTATTAACATAAGAAAAATTCACATATTTTAAAGTAAATTTAGAGCAATTTGAAATGAGTTAACCAGGAATACAGATTTACTTCAGTGATTTTATACAAATATTTATTGTTCAAACTCCCAAACAGCTTTTGATGAAATCTAAACATTTTTCTCAAAAGAATTACAATTTTTCCTGAGGATGTGTTATGCTTTTATGTGACTGTATGAAAACGTATGTTTCCCTTTTAAGATAAGATGGTAGAATAATTGAAAATCTTGCCTCTCAAATTATCAAAACCAAAACAAAATAAAAATACAATTTTTATGTCAATTCATATACCAAATTTACATATATTGTTCTTTATAACAGATATGCTGGAAAAGAAAAATAAATTTGATAGATTGAGAGGTTGGAAGTCATTAAGAAAAGGTGAAACTAGAAAGAATAAGGACTACAGTGTTTTATAAGGAAACACCGATACACAAATTGAAAAGGGTACTCTATTTTCTGGATGCATGTAAACATTTAAATATGTGATACAGTGTTCTGTGAAAAAGAAATCAGATAATAAGTGTTTCCTTATTAATTTGTTTTTGCACAACTCTATAGATGGACTCTCAGGTGCCTGCCATGTTCAAATGATCAAATCACTGCTTATATCCCAATGCTCCATAAGATGTTGGTTAAGATTCCATACACTTTCTTACTGAATGTGATTACACTTTCTTTAAAGAGTAATTATATTTTTTCAGTAAAATAAAAAGGGTCAATTATTTTGGAAAATTTGGAAAGCAATATGGCACAGCGTTTGGATTATGGACTTGGAGATAAACTGGCCTTGCTTAAAGTCTGTCTCTGCCATTTTGTAGTCTGCATCTAGAGCAAGTTCCCTCGTGTGTAGGTTAACTGTGTATTCTAATATAAAAGGGGGATAATGATCATACAATGATTGTAAAAACTAAAGGAATAAATGTTTCAAATTCATAGAATAGAACTTAGCACTTAGTAAGTGCTGTGTATATGCCTGCTTTAGTTACACGACCTATTTTACTTAAGTACCCTAAGTTTGAGGGCTCCCAAATAAAACTCCAAAAACTACTCAGTGCTGATTCCACATATAATTTCTAAAAGCATCTTATATTTTACTCAAGGGTTAGAGGTATTCCTCTTTCTGAGGTGAAAGGGAATGATATTGTCAAAATGGGAAAAACACAGACAATATGCCTGGCTCAGTGCATAGTACTGAGCTTTGCACATAGTGGGTTCTTAGTAAGTCTGTATGGAAGGAATGAGTGAATCCAAAAAAAAATCAAATATTCACAAGCCAGTATTATCTAATTTTAAGAATCAAACAACATGGGCATATTTCTCTTCAATCAAATTTCAATATATGAAAAAGCAAATTTCAGAAACGTTAGTTAATAATTGATTCCTCCTGCTGAAATCCCCCTTAATGTTATTTTGAACATGATTTTACTATACAAATATTCTACTTGCACAGAACTAGTTAAGAATTCATTGCCTGGGGTAGAAGTCTATGTCTGGCAGCAGCGAAAACTTCTCCATGTTCTTGCTGAGGATTCTTCTACCCTCAGTTAAAAGATCTTAGAGAATGAACAGGTGGAGTCATTTTAAAAATAAATTTCATATTGTGCAATATGAAATTGCAGTCCAATAATTACATCTTCAGGCTAAACTTATTTCTTATCAATTTCCTAAATAATCTACAAATGATCCATAAAAAAACTGGGCTCTAGTGAGAGGCCAAAAACATATGGGATTTATGACACCTACCATTCCAAGAAATTGGGGACAGGGCTGTATCGATCCTTTACAGAGGTAGCTGCCCTGTGCTTCCACCGGTATGGAGAGGAGCTGATCTTTCACATAGCATGTGACTATAGTTACTGAATTAGCCAAGATATATCTTCTATATAATTAGCCAAGATATATCTTCTATCTAGAGATAAATGGTTCTAAATTCATGAAATTAAGCCCTGTGCAATTAACACTAAGAAAATGGTCCCAGGCATAAATGCTTTTGGCTTCTCACTTTCCTGATCCAAATCTTAAAAATTTTAATAGCTAAGCTAAGGTTTTCTTCCAAGAAAACCCCCTTCTGCCAAATACATGCACACACACACACACACACACACACAAATACACATATGCACGCGCATGCACACACACACACATCCATGAGTTATTTTCTTGATAATCCATAAAACAAAATCCATACCAATTACCTTGGCATATAATTATCTTCAATTTAAGCATATGTACTACTTCTTATTTTAAATTGTTAGATATGTATAGGTCTTATCCTCCTAATATTATTGTAATCTACATGAAGACAAATACAGCATTATATAATTTTGTGCCTACCCAAAATATTTTTGAGTTAGGTAAATCAATTACCTCTACTAAGGTTCAACAATACAACGTGCTCTCAAAAGTCTGTCTTTTTAATTAGTTTTGAAATAGATTAACATAATTACTCCACAGTCTCCGGGAATATATCTGTAAAATCGAGGGAGGTGTTCTTTGTATGAGTGAGGCTGATTGTGAAGTGAAGCATGATGGCTGGCATTAAAATTACATAGTCCTAGAACTTGGTTGTCTATCTGGGAGAAATTAGGACATCTGGAACTGTTAAATCCCTTACGGAAATGCTACATGGAGTGGTAGGCATTCATATAACACATCAGGAAGGGGATGGGAGGATAAAAAGGGAGGAAATAAAGTAGGATTAGAGAAAAAAAATTCAACAAAACTCCCATATCACCCAACAACTACTTGGCTTAACAAACCTGTATATGTGATTGAACGCCTAAAAACACTTCCACTTTCTTCCACTGTGCACCTTGCTGTCCTCTTTGAGCCCACAATTTAGAAGTAACATTGTCTTTCTTGCTGAGTACCTACCGAGATAAATTAAGTAACAGGTGTTAAAATATTCTGTCTTGATAAATTTTAAACATTTAGAATTTGCCCAGTGATTTTTAAAAATTTTAATATCACCATGAAGTCCCTTAGAGAAAAGTGGGGACAGTTAACGTTAGATGTCTTTGTTTTCTATACAGCAATGTGTCTCCAGGATCCCTCACAAGCTTTGGGTAATAAAGGTGTACATGAATATCTGTCAGTCAAGTCCAAAGGGTCTAGGCACCATTTCATTAACACTTAACTACATTAGCTTTTTTTTTTTTTTTTTTTTTAAGATTTTATTTATTTATTTGAGAGAGCGAGAATGAGAGAGAGAGAGAGCACATGAGAGTGGGAAGGTCAGAGGGTGAAGCAGACTCCCTGCCGAGCAGGGAGCCCGACGTGGGACTCGATCCCGGGACTCCAGGATCATGACCCGAGCCGAAGGCAGTCGCTCAACCAACTGAGCCACCCAGGCACCCAACTACATTAGCTTTTTTAAAAAAACTGACAGAATTAACAATTGGAGTTTTATATATTAAATAATATTCATGGAGTCGAAATGAAAAGCACTTATTACTGAAACATTTTTTTGAGGATGACTTGCCTTCCTCATGCTCTTGGGTTCAGTGGGGACAATGTGTTATAATGGGAACCCATTCAATTTTAATAGCACACCTGGGTGATATGAGTGGGCACTGACTCTTCCTCCCAAGAGCCTTGACACCTCGCATTCTCCTCAGTACTCTATCCTTATTCTAAGGGGAAATTCAGATTAGTCTCAGCAGACAAATTATCCTGGCTCTCCTTTTAGAATGCTACAAAATGAACAAGAGAGTAACTGAAGAGAACAGGGAAAAGCAGAACAATTCCACATTTTAAAGTAACTGACTTAGATGGTTTATTTAATTATTTCACAGCATTACTTTTTAAAAATACAATGTGTACAACCCAAAGAATCATTCTGGTAATGGGTTTGTGAAGGTTTTGACTTTTGAAAGTGAAGGCAACTTTTAATGGTTTCATTATCTCCGTATTTTCAGTTAAATTGAAACAGCTATTTTTTATTGGAGTATAAATAACATTCAAACTATTAATTTTATAGAAGTAGAGTTTCAAGACCCTTTAGAATTTCTAAGTAATATGGAGCTAACAAAAATAATGCCATAGTTTTGGTCTATATAATTTATATAATTTAAGTTAAAACAACATGCTTCAGGGGCACCTGGGTGGCTCAGATGGTTAAGCATCTGCCTTGAGCTCAGGTCATGATCTCAGGGTCCTGGGATCGGGTCCCACATCAGGCTCCCTGCTCAGCGAGGAGCCTGCTTCTCCCTCTGCCTGCCACTCCCCCTGCTTGTACTCTCCCTCTCTCTCTCTCTGGAAAATAAATAAATAAAATCTTTAAAAAAAAAAAAAAAAATGCTTCAAGATCAAAAAAATATAATTCCTAAAGAAGTAAAAATCATTTTTTGATGAATACTTTAAAAAAGTATGGGAAATAGATCTTTGTATGAGTGCCATTCTACATATAAATGACTAAGAAAAATATGTTCATGCACAAAAACAAGGATCACATGCACTACCATTTTAGTTATTTGATAACTACTTATGACATTTTAATATTTTATAAATTTTCACCTACTAATACAAAATTGTACCTGAAAAAAGAAAGTATATTTCAGATAATTAATCTTAACTACAAAATATACCAGTTTAATAATTCTCATTTTTCTGATGAAAACCCTGCAGTAAGCTGTATTGATTGTTTGCCAAAAACCATTTTTTAAAAAGTCAATCTAAAACAAATGATAAGCTATAACTTTAATCCATAAGACTACTGGATGTTTTTAGATTATCAAACATGTACACATACTTATATACAAACAAGTTTACTTTTAAATCATTATTGGTAAGGAGTCTCACCTATAATAAAGAAGATAATTCTTCCAAAACTGATAAGTAAATATAATATGTTTTCAAGTAAAAAAAAAAAAAAAAAAACAGCATTTGTGAAATATGCTTATCTAAAACTTATTTGGAAAAATAAATATTTAATATAGCCAGGAAAATCTTAGAATAAGACAGTAATAAAATGAGGAGACAAAGCACCTAATATTAAAATTATAATCAAGGCACAGGGGAAGAAGTGGTTAAGCAGCTGGCTTGCAGTCTGTTTCTCTTTATTGGGGGGGAAAAAAGTAGGTAACTACCTGTATTCTTTTTGCAAATATACTAAACATAGGCTTCTTCACTAACAAATTAATGGTATTTGACAAGGGGAAGAGCCCTCTGCTATGCCTGCGTTTAGCAAGATATTCCTGGTCTAAAACTGCTCACGGTAAACGATTCTAGAATTTTGGGATTGGTCTTTTAGACATGGCTTCCTGGAAAATGCTACATAGGGTATGAAATAGTACAAATGGAGATGTTTGACAACTGAGTTGGCTTGTTCTGTGTAAATGATGCATCTATACATATTACTTAAAACCTCATATTGTATAAGGCATGTCCAATATGGGAAAAAAGGATGTAGCCATCTGCCTTGGGACTCCAGAACCTCTCTCTGGTTTGCCTATATAACTTGGCCTTCTAAAAGAAACCAGGACCCCCTGGAAAAAGTTAACTCCAGGGATGGAACAGGATAAAAATAACATGAGTCTGGAACATCTTCTTGGACAGGAAGGAAGAAAGACTAATGGGACTGTCAAAGAGACATAGAAGCCAGCTTCAGGGTCTCCTATGAGCAAATCTGGGACAATTTAAGAATCAATGAAAAATAACAATAATAACAGACAATAACAAATTGAATACAAAAAGGATCCATGAATCCACACTGATATAAATCAATAAATGGAGATGTAATTTTGTTGTTGTTGCTGGTGGTAATGGTGTTCTTTATAATGGAAAACTAACCAACAAATGTAACAGAACAATGGAGTTAAAACATCACAATTAAGCAATCATCATAGTAAAATTAATTCCGGTGAAAAATACTAAAGGAAGCAAAAACTAGCAAGAAAAATTGACTTGAGAACAGGATTTTACATACTATCAAAATATCTCTTCACAAAATATTTATTGATAACAAAGGGAACAAAAGTAATAATACCTATGGATATCATGTACTACCAATGGGATGCAGTAAAAAGAATACAATATTGGTAATATTACAGCAAATATATATGATATATAAATAATATATATAAATATGTATGATATATAGGTTTAACATTGAACAAATCTAAATTGAGTGGATTCTACATATTGGATTAGATTAAAATATTTTAAAATATCAAGGTCATAAAAGTCTAGAGAAGATTAAGGAATTATTCCAATTTAAAAGACACTAGGAAGAAATAACTAGGTGTGATACGTGATCCTGTATGGAATTTTTCCTATAAAAGATGGTCTGGGACAATGAGCAAAAAAATAGGAACTCTGAGTGAAAGTTATACTGGGGTTCTCTGTGGGATTCTTGAAACAGTTCGAAATAGTTGAAACAGTAATTCTGAAACAGTTTAATTTTTTTTAACAAAGAAACAATTTGAAAAAGACAATTGGAAAATGCAGCAGCAGAACCATCAACTTGAAGAATGCACATTCAAAGGTCATTGAAGTGTGTATAATCCATTTGCACTATTCTCAGAACATTGGTCTTCTCAGAACGCTGACACTAAAAACTACATGAAACACTTTAAGTACAAAACTGTATTACACACAAGCTGTGTGTATTTATTCTGAGGTTTCAGAATAAAGATGATAACCACAAAGTGAATAGTAAAAACGTCCTACTGGCCATTCAGGTCCAATTCTGCTAAAGCTTTTTTTTCAATCATGCCATATTGAAACCAGGAAGGCGTTGACAATTACCCATTCTCATCTACTAGCAGACCATATTTTAGTAACACTAAATTGTACAGTATGAATTTTTATAGAGAAAATTTAGAAAGTGCAATTGCCTAAGGAGTACCTGAAGAGAACCAATTGTGACACCATTCATATGAGTCCAGAACACCAGGGTACATCTTGGGCCCATGCGTGAAATAACAGGAGTGAGTATATCAGCCGTGTCAGCAAATTTTCCATTTGAACTATCAGCATACAGGTACCAGCCATCTGTGGTATTTCTGGGGAAAGTACAAAGTGTATATCAGATTAAAAAAAAGAAGAAAATCATAAAACATATGGCTCATCACTGACCATATTTTATTGTTCTGTAAGTTTTCCTAGAAGCATAATAATGTTTTATAGCATAATGATAACTCACAATCTTCAGCAGCAATAATTATTCTACTGCCTCTTACCTGTAGCCAGGAGGATGCCACAGGCAGTTCATTCAAGACTGGCTCAGTCTGACCCCTTTCTGGGGACTGTGGATGAAGGTCACAGGCCTAAGCCTCATCTCATCCCAGAGGCCTTGGGAAAGGAGATTGGGGATTCTTTCTTCCTGCCCAGACAGGGTATGCCCCCTGTGGCTGCCTTTCTGAAGGAGTGAATCCAATGTTGACTGGAGAAATACCATGTTTACAGCTGGAGGAGAAACATGCCCAACACTGGTGGAGGTCTGACTCGCAACAGGGCCCTGGCCTCCTTTACGGCACAGGCAGAGATGACAGGGACAAGGAGCATATGACTCCTTCTGCTCCCTGATCCTGTGGTACTAAAACCACTCACCACCTTCCTCAAAGCCTTCTTGCCCCTGGGCATTCCCTGCCTCTATCATTCCCTTCCTCTAAGAGTCCCAGCTCCTTGACCTATCAGCTGTCTCCCAGAAAACCAGTGTTTGGAGCAATAAGATATTTTTTTGCTTGAGTCTTTTTTCTAAAGAAAAGGTAAAGAGCATTGTGAGAATCTTTATGCTGTTGAGGTTTACCTTCTTAGAAAACAATATTAATAGGATGGATGTCTGAGTTTCAGCATCAGAGTATCTTTCAGAAGCTTGGAACAGCAAAAGTTCGGCCTCCACTGCCTAAGGAGGGGGCCCCTCACTCTCTGCCCTCAACTTGCTTCATGCTGGCTGGGTTTCCAGCCCGCGCATCAAGTGCCCCGCTCAACTTTGATCCTGCTTGTGCCACCCCCCCCCACATATCTGGGGGCACTTGTCACTCTTGGGTTATTGCTCTCCCCTGACTCCTTTCCCCATCCTTGGTCTGTCTGGTGGCCCCTGACAGGCAGAGCACTGCTGGAGTCGCCTAGGAATTGGCAATGTGACAACAGCCAAGATTGAGGCTGAGGCCCAGGGACAGCGCCTCGGCCATCCTCCCACACGGGGCTGAGACACAGCCTTTGGGATGCCAGGCCCATCTCTGATCCTGCCTGCTAGTCTTGGAGGACAGGGACTCCTGTCTAGAGAGACATCTTCAGAGGGGAAACCAGGAGGTGGGACTTGAGGGTTGGCTAATGTAAGCTTCCACAGCTACCATCAAGTGGTGAATCCATTGCCACTGGTTGCCCAGGGGTCCCCACATCTTTCTTCGCTGAGAGCCCAGAGGGGAAAGGGAGTTTGTTGAGGAATATTTTAAAGAAACCTTTTGTGCCTTTCATCAGAGCACAAGAGTAGGTTGCAATGATTTAACATTTGTGTGGGGTTGACTCAGGTGCAAAGGAGGTTTAGCCCAGGCCAAACTTAGTTTAAAATACTACATAAAAATCCATTTTTCTTTCTTTTTTTTTGCACAGAAGCTGGTAATCTAGGACCTACATGTGAACAGCTTTACATCAGTATTTTTGTACTTGGCTTTCTTGGGTGGGTATGATACATTATATTTAAGTTCCTTGAACACTGTGGATCCCCCTAATGTGGATGAATGACTGAGGCTTTGTAAATTCAGGAACATTTGTGTGAATAAAGTTTTTTGATGGGGTCAAAGAAGCCAAAGAAAAAAGAAAGAAAGAAGGAAGGAAGGAAGGAAGGAAGGAAGGAAGGAAGGAAGGAAGGAAGGAGGGAAGGAAGACTCTCCTATCAGTTGGTACATGGTAAAGGCTGAAATTACCAAGTCTAATCTGTAATTACTTGGTTGTGTGCTTTTGTTTTGTGTTTTACAATGATACTGCCAATAACATGGTCAGCTTTGTACAGCTTTTCTTTTTTTCAACATTTAATTTTTTATTGAAGTATAATTGACATACAATGTTACTAGTTTCAGAGGTATATTGATTTGATAATTCTATACACTACTCAATGCTCACCACGATAAGTGTAGTCACCATCTGTCACCGTATATTATTACAACATTATTGATGATATTCCTTATGTTGTACTTTTCATCTTTGTGACTTACTTACTTTATAACTGGAAATTTAAAGTTTGTACCTCTCAATCTATTTTGCCTATCCCCCCCATCCTCTTCCCATCTAGCAACCACCAGTTTGTTCTCTGTATTTAAGTCTGTTTGGCTTTTTGTTCATTCATTTGTTTTTTTAGATTCCACATGTGAGTGAAATCATATTTTCATGTGCGTAAAAAGGACTCTAAAGAACTGAATGCTTTTAGAAGATGCACATAAAGAAGAAAAATACATGTAAAAAATTAAGCATGTAAACTAGAAAGGAAACTGGCCTGGGGTTCCACTTACAAGTCTAAAAGGCTTTCAAGGTTCAAGTTTAATCTCTATTAATTTAGTTCAGTTTTACTTAAATATTTTTAATATTTTAATAAGCTGGTAGATAATTTTTAAAGTGTGTCTTTTTCCTCCTTACTTCCAAATAAAAGAGGAAAAGTCAGAATGAAAACAAGTGAATATCAAATTAATCTGGCCATAAAAGACAGAGTTGATGCCCTCACTTTAAATATCAATTCAAAAAAGAAATATTAAACATTAAAGACATCTAGGTAACACACAGTCTTTTAAAGTATTAAATGAAGAGGTGACTCCCCACAGTTTGGGCATTCTGGAACACTTTGATTAATTAGATTTCTCACCACTTTCTCACCTAAGTATTATGCTAGATACTATAGAATGTAAATTTGCTACTTATTAAAACCATTTTTATTTTGAAAGTTTTATCATTTTTATTGAGGAAAGAAATGTGAATCACTAACAGGAAATGGATGGAGAAAAACACATAAGTATTCATTCAATCCCCACATATTTATCAACAGTCTTTGCAGGAACCCCTCTGAAGTAACATTTAATGAATATAACATTTACTGACGGCTTACTATGTACCATGCACTATGCCAGATGTTCAACAGTATGTGGGTGTGTGTCTGTGTGTCTGTGTGTGTGTGTGTGTGTGTGTAGGGGCCATGTCTATTTTGTTTTCAAAGCAGTACCTGGCTCATAGATCCTCAAAAACTACTCGATAAACAAAACAAATGAATTTAAAATTGGTAGAACACATGTAGAAATAAAAAGACTAAAGGAATGACAGAACTATGGATTCAGATGAAATTATTCATGAAAAGTTGATAATGGGGGCGCCTGGGTGGCTCAGTCATTAAGTGTCTGCCTTCAGCTCAGGTCATGATCCCAAGGTCCTGGGATCGAGCCCCACATCGGGCTCCCTGCTCAGCGGGAACCCTGCTTCTCCTTCTCCCACTCCCCCACTGCTTGTGTTCCCTCTCTCGCTGTCTCTCACTCTGTCAAATAAATAAATAAAATCTT